ATAGCGAAATAGCGAAGCAGAGCAAACAGAAGTCGGACATTATCAAATTGTAGAAAGTTTCTTTAAGGAAAATGGGGCTGGACTACAGCGAAAATCTAGAACTCAAAACTCGTCGGGGTGTTCAAATTAATTGTGCGTTATGTTTTCAAGACGAGGAGATCTAAAATTCAGAGATCAATACCTCTTTTAGACGAGAGACCGTGTCATCGGGTACAACCCAAGTTAGTACATGTCATGGCCTGCTGGGACGGTTCACACTGCAGTGTAACTCACTCTACATAGTGTAGAGTCTAGTTTCTTTTGAATTATGCTGTCGAATATCAAATTGCATTTCAAAAATACGAATTTTCAAATTGAAAGAAAAAAGCTCCTGAAATATAGCAAAATACTAAGAAGGAAACCACATTCAATTACGATGAAAAAATATTAAAAACAAATGCCTTTTTTGACATTGCATTGACATAGGAATCGAATGGCACAGCAAGTCATAAAGGGATTATATGAGCCAGTACTCATTTCTTTCGAACAATTATTCTCTATCACATTCGCAATAGACCTATGAAAATCATTAGTAACCATTTATTGGATTTTCAAAAGTTATTTTAAAATTTTATTTTAAAATTTTATTTTAAAATTGTTAAATCTTTATTCATAAAGAGGGTTTTAAAATCGAAGAAAACTGCAATTGGCAGATGCCAAAACGAGTAGGGGACAGAGACCAAAATTCTCGAATGAGAATCCATCTCAAGAAAAAATATTGTCATAAGATAAGCACAAAGAAATTATAACTAGTGATTATGTATTGTCATCATTATAACTTTTCTTGTTACTATTATATTTTTTTGAGACCTACTGATCTCACGTTAGCAACACGTAATGTCGATAATGTTCTTTAAATTGATGAGCAAACATATTCCCTGTTGCATTGTTCAGTTCACATGTCATTAGTGCTTGATTGTAGTTGAAAGACTTACACCCGCTACCAAGGTTACAGTATGTCATACAATGATATTGATTGGGTACTTGATACAGTCGATGAGACACGTGATGTTTAAGAGCCGCCTTTGACTGTTCAGACGAATAAAACATTTTGCTGGGATTTTCTGTTGGAAGATTATAAAAGAGATAAATTTAACACCGTTACAAATTGAGAAATTAGAAAGAAGGCGACGCAATGTCCTGATGATTGTGCTCTTCGGCAAGAATCTGTTCTCTCTCTGTGTGCCTGTCTTAAGTATGTTGAGTGGATACTGGCATCTTGGGGGAAAAGGTCGAGCAAACTTGCCAAAATGACTGAGAAATATTGTCCTTTGTAAAAACTTGCTCTCTCATACGGCCTCCATGTTCATGATACAATCTCTATGTACATACAAAAAAATAAAGATAATTGATAAGCTTACCATTGATGTAGTCCTCAATGCAGTATCTTGCCTTCCAAGATGAATCCAACTTCTTCAGGTTGTAGACATAGAACATGTAGCAGTTGCGCACATAGATATCCACACTGTACTGACAACAGTCTCCGTTATTATGAAAGCAAACCTTTCTTTTCACAATACCCTCACTGACT